AATCATATTTATGGTCGAAAGCGTTTAGTTTATTCGAAAATCTCGACTGTGAAGCCACAGATTTCAAAACTGTGGTGTGGATTTCCGAATGGCAAAAGAGATTTTTCTCCATGGTAATTTGAGAATTCCATAGCGAATGGCTTGGTGCACGAAATTGTTCTTTTTCTTACCTTTCTGGTTAGACTAATTAGATTAACTCCTCTGGCCATGAGGATAAGGTATCTCCAAGTTGTTCGGTCAGACACCATCGCTGACAATAATAGAAATCTCTCCATTTTCCACCATCTAAATCTATATATCACTGGTCATCCCCACATGTTTAAAATATTTTTCTTGACTATATTCGTCTTGGTCCTCTTCGTTTTTAACGCCACCTATCAAAGGGTTGAGCCAATAGCGAAATATGCGTCAACTCCTGTGCTGAACGGCGATGAACAAGCGAAGGCGGCTTTTTGTACTATTAATGGTACTATTAATGCACGTAAATCTGCTTACCGTTGAGGTGATGCCGCAAGCTATGATATCCTCAGCGACTCCATTTTCTGACTGATTCATTCTCGAAGGCTCAGTTATTTTGCGACTTCAAATTGCAGCTTTAAGAGCAATTATCGGTAAATAAATAAAAATTAATTGGAATATTTTATATGATTGGAATATACGTCGATAATAACAAAAAAATTCGTCACATAAATAAATTTTAAAATTATTATTATAAAATTATTTTATTAATTATTATTAAAATTATTTTAAATTAAATTTCTAAAAATGCAAAGTATTATAAAATAAATTAACAAACTATGAATTTATGAGTTTAATGGATTTTATAACAACTGAGCCTTAAAGTAACTTATTATACTCGTTATTATATTAATAGGACCAACTATTATTTATGAATGGTCCAACTCTATCTGATTAGACTAACTCGAATAACAGTAAATAAGCAGTAGCCGGAAATTTTTGCAAGAAAGCGGCAGAAAATAAGTGCGATGGCTACCAATGCCAGTCTTGCTTTGGACAGGAGATTCTAAATGTATTTTTATCTATGCCAACCATGCTAACGTGTCTCTGTAGGTAATGAACAATGTAAAGAAATAGACAATGTAAAGAAATAGCAAATAGCAACACCTGATTTAATAATAAAATTAATTTAAATAAAATTTAATAATAATAAATGAAATTCAAGCGTAGTACCATTAGTTAAATTTGTTTTTTAAACAAAACCAGTGTGAGGGAAGCGTACAACAGTCAAATTGCAGTTGGTAACCTTTTCTACGGATTCAATAGATGTCTAAAAGGAAACGGAATATCTCCTTCCTAGGAAGTGACTGATAACTGTCTCAATATCTTTTAAAATATCTTAGAAAAATATCGCATAATATAAATAAAATCATAAATAAAATCTTTTAATGAACATGAACATGAAGAAGTAACGAACTTATGAGTAAAGTTAAAGCAATAAATCTTTTTTACTGTCTTAAAGAGAAAAAAATTGAAAAATGT